GAGCCCGTTGCTCCTCGTTCGCCTGTGCATCCTGTAGCCCCTCCGCCGGCTGTTGTTCCTCCTCCTCTTGTCCCTGCCCCGTCCGTTCCTTCTCCTTCTGTTGCGGCGCCGGCGACCGGCTCCCGCCTGCATCTGCCACATGTTCCGCCTGTCGCAGGGGTAGAGTTCGTGGCGGCGGGTAGTGGCGCGGCTGCGGCTCCGTACGCAGCTGATGAGTCTCTCCGGTTCCTGACGGCGGCTCTGCTGCCTCCGCAGACGCGCGTTCCTGAGACAACGCTTGGTCAGCTTCACCGTCTCGCGAAGAGCCTGCATGCTCTGCTTCTGATTCAAGTGCTTGCACACTCGTCTCTCCCTGCTGTCCCGCCCGAGTCCTTTCGCAGCCACCTGCGTGACCCGTGCCTCGACGCAGCTGACCAGCTCGCGGAGCTGCTGGCGCCCGTGTTGGCTGCGCCCGCGGAGGGAGGCGCTGCTGCCGCGGGACAGCTTGGTGAGGCTGTCCGTGCACTGCAGCGACACTTGCACGCAGGATCCGGAGCCGCGGCGATCGGCGCAAGCACGCTTGTGGTCCGGGAGCTGTGGCGCTCCCTGACGGGCATCCTCCATGCCCTTGGAGCTCACCGCATGTAGGCGCGGGCTCTTGTAGCTCCATTTAGTGTACCACGCGGCTAGGCCGCGGTGGGTGGTGCCATTGGTGTAATGCTTCGTTGCTATTAATGGTTCCTTGCGTGAATGCTTGCCGTCCCCTTTACGCGCGGCCGAAGGCCGCGCCGTCGAGCGTCGGCCGCCGAAGGCGGCCGGCGCGAGCGCAAAAATCTCAGCCGCCAAACTAACAATGAGGAAATGGCCTTAGAAAGGCCTTAAGTAGGCTAGGGGCAGAGGGCAGAGGCTAGGGGCAGAGGGTAGAGGCTATTCCTCTCTCTCTCTCTCTCTCTCTCTCTCTCTCTCTCTCTCTCTCTCTCTCTCTCTCTCTCTCTCTCTCTCTCTCTAATGGTCCGTAACTCACATGACCGGTTTTGACTACATGAGTGCCTCAAACCCGCCTTGAATCTAGACTCCAGTCCTTGTTTTTTTCTGGGCGCCTTGAGCAATTATCCCCATCCGTTTGCTTTTGGCTGCAGGGAATGGTATATGTTGTCCCTTTTGCCTTTTTTACTCGACAAATTGTGCCAAAGAAGGTGCAGCCATTCGATACCATTGGTACGTCTCTCTCTCTCTCTCTCTCTCTCTCTCTCTCTCTCTCTCTCTCTCTCTCTCTCTCTCTCTCTCTGTTGCACTCTCTCTCTGTGTTGCACTCTCTCTCTCTCTGTTGCACTCTCTCTCTCTCTGTTGCACTCTCTCTCTCTCTCTCTCTCTCTCTCTCTCTCTCTCTCTCTCTCTCTCTCTCTCTCTCAAGCAGTCCTTCATTGATAGGTTCATAGGGATACAGGCATGGTAGGAATAGAGCTAGATAGGCCTAGGCATTGGCGCTACCAAGTATGCAACCCAGGAACGTGAAGCAAGCAGAACATCTGCACCCAAACACAACCGGTCAGGTGAGGCATGGCAAGTGGACAGGGCGAGGCAAGGCAAACCAGCTAGACAGGGCATTGTAAGGCAATGCCACGCACGGTCAGAGGTGCAGGCAGGTAGGCCATTCAGCCCAATCATGCAGCAAACGGGCCATGGCTACCTCACTGGCCAACACCTACTCCTACCTACTGAGCCTGCACAACCTCCAGCTCATCCTCCACCACCTACCAGAGGTCCCCCAGGCTAGGCTCCCAAGGGTCCCTAGCGGCCTGGGGGAATGCTGCCTCATCCGAGAGGTTTGACTTGTTCAGGTAGGATGTTGCCTGGGAGCGCTGCAGCATCACAGACCAGCGCTGCCGGTAGTGTGCAGTGAGCCGTGCGGTCGTCGTTGTCAACTTCCCCTGGCGGTACTTCTTCTTGGCTGCTGAGGTGGCCAGCAGCCGTAGGAACTCCTGTGTGTCCGAGGACAGAGCCCCATACGTCTCAATCGCGAGGCCAAAGAAACCAACATAGTCTGGCCGGTCCTCATATTCCCTGTGCTTCCTAGCCGAGGCCTCCTCAGCCGCCCACCCCGGTGGTTTCCGTGCCCTAGTGTCACGCTGCTGGAGCACAGGGTCAGTCACCGTCACGTCTGTAACCCAGGTCTCATTCAACTCCCTATCCCGAATCGCCAGGTCTCCCCTCTTCCTGAGGATCGGTGGGGAAAAAGCTGATGTCTCATGGAAGCACGTGAAGTCCGCTTCCCTTGCCATCCTGAGGGCTGCAAACACTAGCGCGTTGTGCGTTCGAACGACGTCACCCCCGTAACCGCACCTAAGGAGATGGTTCGGCAGGCTCGGGTCATTGATGTCTGAATACTCTCTCTTGCAGGGACACTTCTCAGTGACCGGCAGGGACATGCCCAGGCGGAACCCCAGCGCCAAGGAGAACTGACCAGGGGCAAATGTAAGGTCAGCTCTCAAGGCACAGCGTGTAGCCAGTCCCCTGCCCCCACCCCCTGTAGGCTGATGAGGCGGATGGCGTGCCCACGGTGGGTGTCTGGGCGGTCTTTGATCGTGTCAGCCAGTAGTTCCGCTGCTCGCCTCTCGTAGATGTGGCGGGAGAGTAGTAGCTGCAGGTTACCCTGTCCCGCCGGCTGCTCCCTGAACGTCTGTAGTGCGGTTCGTGCCGGAGCCGGCAGGGCTGCCTCCAGTGGGGCGAGCTGGCTGACTTCAGGCGGGGCAGGGGTCCACGCGTGGTCTAGCCGAGTGACCGCCCTCTTCAGCAGGTACGCCTCCGGCAGGTTCATCTGCCGCAGTAGGGTGTGGGCTGCCGTTACTGACGCTATGTAAGCCGCCGGCGCCTCCGAGGTAGGGTCGATGATGCCAAGCCCCCCCAGCCTGACGGGTAGGGTTCCCTGTCACCACAGCAGGCTCTGTTCCAGCTCACTTGCTGGGACACGTAGCTTTGCCGCCGCCAGGGCCGTCGCCATCAGAGTCTCGCTCCACGACCTCCACTCCTCCTTCTCCAGCACTATAGCTGGCGTGGTCTGCAACAGGTACGATATTATGCGGGAGATGCTCCTCAAGAGTATCACCATGGCGTGCTGTTGGTGCAGCTGAGCAATCAGGGGCAGTGGTGCGGCCGCTTCTGTGAGGCTTGTCCGTGCCTTGTCCGTGCAAAACTCAGGCGTGCCGATCGGGCTTCCCAAAACTCCGATGCCGTTGGTGTTGAAGGGCAGGCCCTGTGGTGGTGGGATCTCATTCCCCCCTTCCGTCTCCGATCCCCACCCCGAGGACTTGGCAATGTTGCAGCGGAGGCCAACCGATCGGAGCTCCCGTGTGATGGTGACAAATGCCTCAAAGGCCGCGTCCCGAGGGCCCACAATGGTGATGTCGTCGGCGTAGGCCATGATTGCCACCTCGGGGAGTAGCGTCGCCGTGCTCAGAAGTGTTGGTTGGATTGCCGTTGCGAAGAGGAGCGGACCGAGCGGATCACCCTGGCGAACACCTCGGCTGCTCATGATCTGATCAACGCCCAGCTTGTGGTCCACTAAAAGCCTAGACGGGCGATCGTAAAGCGTGCGTACGAGTGGCAGGAGTGATAACATGCTTGATTGTGAGAGTGCCTGAAAGAACGCCGGCCGTTCGACACTGTTGAAGGCGTTCTCGATATCGAGCTGTATTGCTACTCTGCTCTCATCCTCCTTAAGCAGAGATCGAACTGAGTGGACGATGCACTCTGTGCCACCTGTGACCGCCACCCCAAACTGAACAGGAAGGAAGTATTCGCGAATGGTTTGTGTAAGTTCCCTTAAAGCCGCCTTTGCCACCACGCGGAGTATCGCTTCTCCAATCGCGATGGGCCTAACGCCTCCTCCCGGTTTCTCCAGAGCGATGAGTCTCGAGGGCAGTAGCAGATCGCGGACCGCTTGCGTCTGGAAGGTGCTAAGGAGGTAGCTGGTAGTTTGCGCGAGGAGTATGAGCACCTCCTCACTCGCGAGCGCAGGATCTTTGAGGTGTTCAAAGCAGGTACCTGATGGGCCTGCTCCCACTCCGTTCGGGCATCGCTTGAGTATCTCGCGAAGGTCGTCTGGTGTTACCCGCAGGTCCGAATGAGTATAGCCAGAAACGAACCTCGCCGGGGGCGATGCAGTATCGGGGTGTTTCGCCTGCAGTGCGGCGAGTGTCGCTGGTGTGGCCTCGGCGAGTGGAGTTGCGCGTAACGCTACAACTGCCTTCGAGATGTTACCTTTCTTCATAAGTCCTTCCGCCCTAGCACAGAGTCCAGCATCATCCGCTTGGTGGCATGAGGGGTTCTCCGTATCGGGGATGACCCTAGCCTTCTCGAAAAGTTCCGCCCAGCTGCCTTGCTGAAACCGGTGCAACCTTCCCTCAATCCCAACCCACCGACTTCCTTGAACTGGTTCGGGAAGGGGCCGCAAGGTCAGCCTCGGGAGGAATTGCAGGATCGTCCATGCACCTGGACAGTCGGGGAGTTTCTGCAGTCATAGGAGTGGTGCCAGCACGCAGAGGGTGTAACTTTCCAAAATTTTGGGGGGCATCCTCCGAACCAGGAAAGGTTGGTCCCCTCGCTGTAGTGGGGCAACGTCCCACGTGGCCGCCTGCTGCCAGATGCCCTCGTTCGCCGCCAGCTCAGCCGGTGACTGTACGGTAGGTTGCCCCGTTTCCCTCTGGCCCCCACTCGTCACTGCTCCAATATCTCCCCGTCCGTGGTGGTTTCCTTCCTCGGGGTTTCTCGCCTCAGGGTTTCTGTCCTGGGGGTTTCTCGCACCAAGATTTTTGTCCTGGGGTTTCTCGCAGTTGCCCTCCGTCCCCTCTCTCGTCCTGTGATGTCTCCCTCCTCCTCCAACGAGATCTCTTCTGAGGTTTCAGGGGTCTTAGCTACATAATCCCCCCCGTCCTCCCCATTCCCCGTGTCCCTCTCCTCCTGATTCGTCGGTGGTGCCTCCTGCTCCGGGCGGTCGTTGCGTTCCCGCCACGTTCCCAATCTCACAAGCGCCTCTCTTCCGCCGACGATTGCGCCCCCTCCCCGTCTCCCACCTCTTGCTCCGCGTCCTCCGCCACGGGCCCCACGGGTCGGTGCTCCCTCCCCGGGTCGGCTCTCGTCGTTCCGCCCCCCTCGTCCGGCCTGTGGCGCTCTTCCCGCCGGGATCCATGGTGAGTGTGTCTGTCTCGCTAATCCCGGCCTCGGATGGCCCCAGGTGATCCCTTGTTGCCGGGTGGAGCTCCGTGTTTCCCGTTGTGGGCCTTGGGTAGTCACGGCTTCCGTGCCGATGTGTCCTGCCACGTGCCTGACGTCGGTTTCCACGTTGCCCTCCTCTCGTTCTCGTGCAGCAGATGGAGGTTGACGCTTTGGCGATAGTGGCGAATGATCTTGCGCCAGGCCCCAGCCCTGCTCCGGGCCGCCTCGGCGCTGGCTGGGCACGGAGCCTCCTCCCGCCACTCCCGCGAGCGGCGCGCCCAGGGGCGACGGTCCCGTGACCCTGTCTTCCGCTCGCCGCCTGGACGCGCTCCTGCGTGTCTCCGTCCTCGGCAGCAGCAGACGTTCCGGCGTTCCCAGTGGCCACCGATACCCCCCCCTCGACAGGGGCGTCAGCCTGGTTCCCTGCCGCGGTTTCAGCCGTCATCGCCGCAGCCAAGACCGCCGTCGGCACCGGCGCCGGTGACGCAGACAACGCCGCCGCCCCAGAAAGTTCCAGATCCACCACTGGACCCAACTCCAACGTCTGCTGTTGTGCCCCCTGGTGGTTGGCAGAAGGTGAAGTCGAGCCGCCGCCAAAAGCAGCGGCAATTCCGCCCGCCCCTCCCAATGCCGTCACGGCCTCCGTTGGCACCTCCACGGCAGCAGCATCCTCACCCACCACTTCCACCGACGCCGTCGCCGCCACAGCGCTTCCCCTTTCCACCGCAACCGCCGGCGCCCCGTCCCCCAGCGTCTCCAGTTCCTCAGCTCTCCTCGTCGACCATACCGTCACCAGCGCCGTAGGAGTGTCCGCAGCTATTCCTTGGCGGAAGGAACATCCCAGTCTCGTGGGAGGTGTTGGGGTACTTGAGGGGAGAGGAGGCTCCAGAAGTGCAGTCGCCCCCGCCATCAACTCTGCCATCGTCTCCTCCTCCGCCTGTTGGTCCTGATCCCTCTCCCCCCCTGTCTCCGGAGGCGATTTCTCCGCCAGGCTCCCCGATGCGGGGCAGGGCCCACTGCGTCGCTAAGCGCGTTGGTCACGTGGGGACGTGCCTGACACTGTTGGCAATGGTCCTCGACCAGCTGCACCTTTTCCAGCTGCGGCAGATTCGTCCTGGAGAGGTGCCTCCGGTGTTGTCGGCGACTGAGCAGGAGGAGGGCGTGGCAGCGGCAATGCAGATGCTGGAGATGCTGCCTTTGATTGGCTTGGTCCCGGACTCCCTTGGCGCCGCCTTGGGACCTGGTCCTGCTGCGATGAGGCGGCTTGTTCTCGCCGCCCTGAAGGACCCCCGGGACGTGGTACCGGCTGCCGCCTCTGTGCTGGATGGACGGCCGGTTGAGTTGGATCCTGGCCGAGTAGCGGCCTTCTTCCATGTGCCTGCCTGCTTGGTTGCAGGCCTGGCCTTGGGCTTCCCCATGGTGGTAACTCCTCGCCTGGGGGCGTTGCTCTTGTTGCTTGTTGTCACATGTGCATGTTACTGCCTGTCATATTTATAAACCGCTCCCCTTTGGTCCTTGTCACACCTCACGCGCAGCCGAAGGCCGCGCTGGCGAGCGGCGGCCGCCGAAGGCGGCCGGCGCGAGCCGCCGGATTTGGAGAGTGATTCAAACTCTCTCTCTCTCTCTCTCTCTCTCAAGCGGTCCTTGTATTGATATAACGGGTGAGTACAAACTATCGAGGCAGAATAGAAACAGGCAACACTAGAGACTAAAAGAACAACCTAGCAGCAACCCAGATCCGAAGATCAACCTACAACCCTACCCACCAGCCACCCCCCCTCCACTGGAAGCTCCTAAGGGGGCTCAGCAGTAGGTTCGAGCACCACAAAACAGTCCCCCAGGGACATTTCCTCGCCAGGGGCCCCGACAAGAGGGTTCTGGGCCTCTGCTGCCATGTTGCACTTGGCCATGTAGCTTACGGCCTGCGCGCGCTGAAGGGCGACCGACCATCTCTGGCGGAACTGGTTGAGTAGTTTTGCCGCCTGGTAGGTTGAAGGGTCGGCGTTGAAGAGCTTGCGTGCAGCCGTGTGAGCCAAGAGCTTGAGGAAAGCGGGGACCTCTGCGCATGGGCAGCCATAAGTCTCGACTGCGAGGGGTACGAATGAGACGTAGGCTGCCGGGGAGCTGCTGTAGTCTGAGATTTTTTTGTCAGCGGCTTCCCTGGCAGCCCACCCCCTCCCTTTCACCGCATTGGGGTCACGTGTGCTGATGGGGTCAGTGATGGTGACGTCCCCGATCCATACTGCCCCTGAAGACCGTTCACGAATGGCGAGGTCCGCTGTCTTCCTAGTGACCGGGCAGAACTCCGACGTTTCCTTGTGCACCATGAACCCGGCGTACTGTGCCATCCTAATGCACTCATCTCTCAGCTCGTTGTGAGTATTTGTCCTTCCCCCTCCTGTGGCGCAGCGTAGCAGATGGTTTGGAAGCCGATTGTCTGGGATGGGAACCTGCTTGGTGCAGTCACAAGCGCCGGGGGCTGAAAATGGTAGTCCTAGCCTGAACTGTAGGGCTGTGGCAAACTGGGGACCGTCAAGCCTCAGGGAGGGCATGAGCGGGACTGCATGGAGCCAGTCCCCGGCTCCGTACCCTGACAAAGAGAGAAGGCGCTGCGTATGGCCGCTATTGGGGTTTGGGGTCATGCCCCTTGTGCTCTCCACCTGGTTAGCATACCTTCTGCCCTGAACTGCCAAAGCTAGCCCCTGTTGCAGCTTCACACCCGTGGGAGCAGCCCTGTCACTCTGTAGTAGCTCCCCGGCATCACTCGGTAGGTCTGCCTCGCACTGAGCTAGCCAGCGGTAGAGAGCGCAGGAGTCTGTATACGGTCCCATCATCTGCACCCGTGTCCCTGTCAGGGGCCCCAGCTGGCTATCTTCAAGGGTTGAGAGCAGCTGCTGTGCCTGGGTAAAGCTAGCTAGGTAGCTGTAGCTGCCCTCGACCGCGGGGTCAGTGATTCCGAGGCCCCCAAGTGATACTGGCAGCGAAGCTTGGGACCATGTACGAGAGATCTCAGCATCACCCCGCGGATGACTAATGCCACATGCCGTTAACAGAGTCTCAAACAACTGCCTGCCCCAACCGGACCACTCATACAGAGGCATATGCATGAGGGGTGTGGTCCGGATGAGGTAAGAAACTCGTCTTGAGATACACCTGGCGAGTAGCAGGGCAGCCAGCTGAGGTTCCATCCGTGCTATCAGGCCAAGAGGTGCCGCCATGGAGCTAAGGTTTGAACGGATGAAGTCTGCTGTGGCCTCATCGGAGCCTATGAAACTGCCTAGCAGCTTCACGCCGTTTCCAGTGAACGGGACGCCCTGGGGTAGGGCAGAGGTGGGGATGCCTGACTGTGACCAAGCCGCGCATTTAGATGGGTTATGATGCAGGCCAATTGGCATGAGGCTCTCAGTGAAGTGCTGGAACGCTGCTACGCAGGTAGATTGCTCCCCTAGGAAGGTGACGTCGTCTGCGTACGCTAGGCAGGCTACAGTAGGGAAGGCCTGGGCTGTAGCTTGTAGCGCGGGATTGATTGCAGCTGCAAACAGCAGTGGCCCAAGAGGGTCTCCCTGCCGAACTCCCGTCGTGCTTAGCAGGGGCTCATGCTTGAAGCCCTCGTCCAGGTAGAGCGGTGAGGGGGCCCCGTAGGTGAGCTGTACTAGTGGTAGTAGTGGTGCTAGAGCCGAGTTGTCTAGCGCGGATGCTATTGCAGCTCTGTTGACACTGTTGAAGGCGTTGGCTAGGTCTGCCTGGAGGACTAGTGCGTGAGGATTTTCAGATAGGTAGGCGCAGGTGATGTGGATAACCGCCTCCGCTCCCCCGGGCACCGCCACGCCGAACTGGTGTGGCATGAAGAATTTTCTTGCCGCCCCTGCTGTCAACATCAGAGCTGTTTTGGCGGCGAGTCTGGTGATGCTTTCACCAATAGCGATCGGCCTTGTCCCTCCGTCTGGTTTGGAGAGAGCCAGTAGGCGAGACGCTGTGAGGAGCCTGGCGACTGGGGATGGCAGTTTCCCTGTCAGAATGGTGTTGACCATTGCGTGGATGTTTGTCGCTACTGACTGGTTGACTAGACACGCCTCTCGCACATGCTCGAATGTCAGACCTGATGGGCCCGCCCCAATCCCATTGTCACAGCGTGACAGAACTCTGAGAAACTCAGGCAGGGTGGCTGTCAAGTGGGCGTTGGGGTCAGGTACCGGCCAAATGAGGGGCGCTTCAGGAGCAGGTGGGTGCTTGGCGCGTAGTGCTTCCAGGATTGCTGGTGACGGGGTGCACACCGGCGTCGCCTCCAGGGCAAGAACCGCTCTCCTTAGGCTGCCACGTCGCGCAAGGCCTTCTGCCCTTGCAATCACTCCCAGGTCGTCGGGGGTATGCCTGGGCGCTTGAGGGTTGGTCAGAGAGTCGAGCAAGTCAGAGTACAGTGCGCTCCACTCCCCCGCCAAGAACTGTCGTAATCTTTCTCTGACTGCTGGCCAATCCGGTTTTTGAGGAGTGTGTTGTCTCAGCGTCAGGCGTGCGAGGAACAGGAAAACTGTCCATGCTGTCAGTGATTCTGGGTTGTCAGCCAGTCGGAGCAGAGGGGCTAGCAGCGCAGTCGCAAAAATTGGGCGGATGTCCTGTGGGAGGTGGCGTGGCAGGGGTGCGTTGCGAGTGTCGCAGAGTTTCGTCAAGTCCCAAGTTTCCACGGCCGCGAAAAGCGTGTTATCAGCAGCCAGTGCCTCTGGCGATTTTTCCTCCAGCGGTGTTGGGAGCGTTGGCTGGGTGGTGGTGGGTTGGGTTCGGCCAGGAGGGGCGTGCCGACCTGTTGGTGCAGAATTTGGCGCGGCTCGGGAACGGGAAATTTGTCCAGATGCGGTTCGGTTTCGGGGGCCGGCCAAATTTCTCGATGCGGTTTGGCTTGGTGTTGCGATTCTCTCCCCTGGCAGGCTCGGTTCCTCTACGGCTGCGTCTTCCTCTGAGGACTCAGCTACCTCTGTGGGAATATAAGTAGCGTCCCGAGCTTCCTCTTCATTAGCTGCTTCTCGAGTTAAAGCCCTTCGCGCTGCTCGTTGGAACCCGTTCTCCGGTCCGCCGTTTCGTCCACCCGTGTTCCGCTGCCCCGCGCCTCGGCCTCGCTGAGATGCCTGTCGCGCTTGGGGACTATCTCGTGTATTCGCCAAGGCCCTTTGCCGTGGCGTCAGCAGTCGTTGCCCCTCCCGCTGTATCGGCACCGGCTCCGGCGCCTGCGGGGATGTCGCCCCCTCCTGATCCTGTGTCTGCGCCTGCTGTGGTGACAGCTCCTGCTCCTGAAGTTGCGCACCTTGGAGCACGCGGTGTGGCATCTGCTCCTGCGCCTGCTGCGGCGACTGCACCGGTGCCGGCAGCCGCGTCTGCTCCTGCGCCTGCCGCGGCGCCTGCTCTGGCCCAACCTCCTGCGCCCGCTGCTGCGTCTTCGTATGCGGCTGCTGTGGCGGCCTCCGTGCCGCCACGGGCTGCGCCCGCCGGGGCGCCTTCTGCTGCTGCTGCTGACCCGTCTTACCAGCCGCCTCCAGCCACCAGCGCCGTCCTGTACCAGGCGGGGGATGTCGTTTCGCCGTCGGCTCCTGCGTCATCCCCTGCTGCCCGGCCGGCTCAGCGTCATCCGTCCCCACATCGCCGTCCCTCTCGACCTCACTCGCCATTGCCGCGGGATGAGCGGGAGTCGTCGCGACGCCGTCGTGATTCTCCTCGGCGTCGCCATTCGCAGGCGGACTGGCCTGCCCACCGTGGAGGTCGCGGTGGTTGGAGGGGTGGTCGCGGTCGTGGTGGCGGGGCGTATGAGCCACCGCTGACGCTTGCGGATGTTCAGCGGGTCGTTTCGGCTGCAATGCGCGAGGGGAGGGCTGAGCAGGCCAGCTGGGGCAGTTCGCGGCATATCGCGCCCGCGCCTGTGGCTCCCCTTGCCGCACCTCCTGTGGCCGTGCATCCTGCTGTGGCTCCTCCTCCTCGTCCTCCTCCTCCTGCTCCTGCTGCGTCAACCTCCGCACCTGGGGCGCACCTTCGGCTGCCGCGGGTGCCTCCTGTGGCGGGCCTGGAGGCTGAGTCCGCGGCGGGAGGGGCGGTGGCGGCTCACTCGTCTGATGCTGCTCCACTTGTCGTCGCTGCTCACTTTCCTTTTCCTGCCCTAGGGGCTCCTCCCCCACAGGTGCGCGTGCCGGAGGCGACGCTTGGCCAGGTGTGGCGGCTCTCTGAGAGCCTACGTGCCCTCCTGCTGATTCAGGTGCAGGCGCACGCGTCTCTGACGCGGGCTCCCCTGGGTATCCTCCTTGACGGTCAACGGGAGGATTGCCTTGACGCGGCGGAGCAGCTTTCCCTCCTCCTGGTGCCCGTGTTGGCTGCGCCCGCGCGGGGAGCCGTTGGGGCTGTGGGCCAGCTCGACGCTGCCGTTCGTGGTGTGCGGCGA